AAAAAATTCGCTTGAAGATGGAACAGAGCTTGGTACTTTAATTCAATTTAATTCAAATAATTATATTGAAGTTTTCAGCTCTTGTTTTGAAACATGACAACTCTTATGTAGCGATGGAATCATATTTTTTAATAGATGATTATACATATATATATATATATATATATATATATATATATATATATTCAGGCAACAAGGATTTTTCAAAATATTACTGAAACGGATTGGTAATGTCTGTGTTTTATTACATTTTATATAAAAAAATAAACCTTGTTAGTCGATTTCAATAAAACTTTTTTATATACACAAACACACACACACAGACACACACGCACACACACACATATATATGTTTGTTTGTGAATATATAAACAATATTTTTTTTAAATCGGCTGACAAGGTTTAATCTTTTTATTGAAAAATATAATAAAACAATTTTACTTGTCACAATAAGAGCCAATTCTACTTACACTAATCATACACACACACATTTTAATTTCTACATTTTACTATTTATTTTATTATCTAATTAGTATCTAATTTTTTACCAAATTTACCAAGTAACATTATTATTTTTATTTTTAGATTTTACTCTTTATTTTTTATCTAATTATTATTATTATTATTATTATTATTATTATTATTATTAATAGTACTAGTAGTGGTAAGTAATCTGATATATTTTAGATATATTTTTTTGTCCCATTTATAAATTTTAATTTTAAATTTCTAATTTTTAAAATTTAAATTTCAAATTAAAACTTTTGTAGCCTTCATATAATAGTTGTTATTAATAATATTATTTTTATATTCTTCTTTTTAAAACTTTTTTTAAATTTAATTTTTTTATGTTTTAATAACCTTTAATATATTGTCATGTATTAATTACAAATTGTATTAATGAAGATTAATAATAATTAATATATATTATTTTTTTTATTCCTACTTTGATGGTAATCTTTAATATGTATATGTATTAACTATAAATTATATTGATGTGTTTCTTTCAAGTGTTATCGCGATATGCCTACATATGATAACTCACTGTTTGTTTCTTCTTCCCCCTCCCCTGTTTAATTCTTTCTTCTCCTTCCTTTTCCCCCCTCTCCTGTTTTACAATTTGTCTTCCTTTTTCCTTTCCCTGTCTAAAAACTTATTTAAAAGGTTATATTCTCTGGTCTCTTGACTGGGTACACTTGAACCTACGTAACTTATTAAAAATGGATTTAAACACAACCCTATCCCTACCTTCCATTTCTAATTTAGATCATTCTATGGCCTCCCCCTCTGTCACTTTATATCAATCTAAAACTATCTCTCGAAAACTTGTATTAAAGATAAAAGAAAGCAAATTCCTTTGTAACTACAGATGTGGCCTGATGAACCAAGAAAAATATATTTTCTGGGGAAATAAATTATAGTTATGGAGCCTTAAGATTCTTTCCTCAATTATTTAATATTTGCTCCGTTGTTGCATTGAGCTCTCTGGATTACATCCTCTATGGAATTATCCACACGGATTACCAAGCCTTTCATTACCTTACCATATATATATATATATATATATATATATATATATATATATATATATGTATGTGTGTGTGTGTGTGTGTGTGTGTGTGTGTGTGTGTGTGTGTGTGTTTTGAAAAATAAAAATATTAAAAATTAAAATTTTCAGACACACTGGGTTGTATATTACTATTTTTTGTTTTATTATTTCAGTTACATTCCTCGACTAGTTTCGGCTAGCATGGTCATCATCAGGAGAAAAACTTCCTGTTTGTTAGTAGCAGTGAACTACAGCAATGAATGGCTTCTGGAGAAAAGGAACTTTATCTTTAGTTTTCATTTGTTTTTATCGTTAATTTTGGTCAGCCCTTGTGTTGGTCACACGTCCTCTTTTAAGTTGTTTTTAAGATAGAGGCTAAGAAGATTCAGAATTCCCTTCTTGTTCATTTTAACAGTTTTATTTGTTGCTGGGTTAGAGATGCGTGTGTGTTAAGTGCATGTTATCTTTTACTTCTTTGGGAGTGTGTCAGATGTGTGTAAGTGTATATATTAGTATGGGTGTGTGTATAAGTGTGAGACCTCAACACCTCCGCAAGCATGTCAGTCTTGTGTGGATGAGAAATGTGGGTAGGGCTTGAATTATGGGGTTATATATTAATTCTATCTATGTTGTTAAACTTGTAGTTAAGCCCGTCTGGACGAAATGTTTTGAGGCGCAAAATCCATTTGTCTTCATGTTCCTCTAGAATTTTTCTAATGTTATCTTTTCTGTCTATTTCTATTTTTTCAATTATAGTGAATTTGGCATGGCTTTTAAAATCATTTTTTTTTTAGGCGGAAATGTTGTTCTACAGGTAATAATATTTCGTGGGGAGTCGATTTGATCCGATAACGTTAATTATTAATTCTGTAGTTAAATTCCACATATTGTTTCTGGAATAGTGTGCATTCTAATAAGTAATTTATGTAATGACTTCTACAGTTAGAGTTGTGTTAGATTTTGAAAGTAGATTTTGTGACTGACTTAGTGAACGAATTGGTGTGTCTAATGTGGTTACAACATAAGCTCCTTTTGTTGTTACATTGTTAGGAAAATGCTGTTGTTTTTATTTTTGGTTTACTACGGATTACCTTATCATCTGAAATTTGATTGCTGCCTATAAAATTCCTTAAGGTTCTTAGGTCTACAATATGCTAGAAGGCCGAGTTCCTCAAACAAAGTTTTTAGGTTTGGTTTGAGATATAGCATTTCCCAGCGACTTTTGATTATCTGGGATAGTGGAGGATGAGTGGGGTTGAAAGTGGTTACTAGAGGGATGTGTCTGGATTTATTTTTAATTTTGTACATTAGGGTGTCTTCTCTAAGTGTGGAAATTGCTTTATTTATTTGTTCCCTGATTAGGTGTTCTTTATAGCCACATATTGTGAATTGATTCTCGAGATTTATAATGTGTTTATTTAGTTCTTCATCGTCGGAACATATCCTTCTAAGTGCTTGTGAATAGGGAAGGTTCTCCTTCAGGTGTTTAGGATGGAAAGGCTTAGAGTGCAGACAGTTGTTGGTGTCGGTGATTTTAATGTATAATGTCCTTTGTAGTTTTCTGTTTTTATCGATGTAAATATATAAAAAAAAAAATGTTAACCGATCTTGTTGATTTATAACTCTCGGATATATATATATATATATATATATATATATATATATATATATATATATATATATATGATTAATGTAAGCAAAATTGTCACTTAGCTGATTGATATTACATTCAGCATCCCGACTCAGAGTTTCGTAGACGGGTCTATTCGTCATCCTCTCTTGGGGGTATCATCAATATGTGTATATATATTCAGAAAAATATATATATATATATATATATATATATATATATATATATATATATATATATATCAAAGAATAACCAAAAAATGCTGTGTCAGTAGGATACTGAGAGAAAAGCCATTTAAGGCAATCAGTCCTTGCAATAAAGTGCTCGATATCAGAGAGAGGTTATTAATAATATTAATACAAATATAAAATGTGTCACTTAGCTGATTGATGTTACCTTCAGCATTCCGTCTCCGGATTCCCTGATGAGTGGACGGAGTGATATCAAATCATCTAAGTGACAAATCTCTCTCTCTCTCTCTCTCTCTCTGTGTCTCTGTCTCTGTCTCTCTCTCTCTCTCTCTCTCTCTCTCTCTCTCTGTATGTATGTATGTAACCTCACCAATAATGAAAATTCTTTTCTTTTTTGAGGAAACCATTTTTCGGTTTAAATTTCCAAATGCTTTTGCCAACATATAGATTGATTATCAGTATTTCCTTCGTTTTGCTATTCTTGTTTTTATTATCGTAACTCACGAATCGTTATTCTACGAACAGCGTGGATGGGAAAAAACAACTGAAAATGAAGAAAATAAAGAGTTAAAAAGAAATAGTAATTAACAATATTTCATCTAAAAAATTCGAAGAATATTTCACCTTTTGCTTCTAGTACCACAAAGAACAAAACTTACTAGTTAAAATTCATATTAATTGATAATGCTTTATCCAAGAAATTCAATTACTGCATAAATAAACCAATCATAGGTGATCTTTATTAATATTTTGATATTAATTTAATGTATGCTAATTTTACTAATAGCAGGGGTGTTTAATAGCTGAGACTAAACTCATTAATAGATTTTTTTTTATTTAGAATCGAGAAATGATTGAAATTCCTGTTATCTGTCATTAATGGGTTAATACAACATTTTCATAATGAATCTTGTAAAGATCCGACAGATAAACAGGAAATATTTGTGTTCATTTTATTCTTTCCTGTTTTTTTAATTTATTTATATTATTTTTTTATATTCGTGTTAAATCTTAATGTTAAATATTTAAAATGTCCTCCTTCTACAACAAGGCACATATCATATATTGAGGTACTATATGGTAAACATTAACTAACATGTCTCTTGTAAATGGACAACAATTTTGTTCACTTGCTGTTAGTAATTAAGAACGTTTACTGATACGGGGTAACAAGGGACCATACTTTATTTCATTAATTCAAAGACTCATATATAGTTAGAACTGACAGTATTTAAGTGTCGAAACTTTGGATAACAGTTGAAAATAATTTATTTAAAAAATTCAATTACTTATCTTAGGTAACATCGACACTAAGAAATTCAATGATTATTACCTCACATTTTGTTTATTGAAGCTATAGGCATTAGTTAAAAGATTGTGAAATATTTTTGATAAAGGATTAATATTCTTATAGACTTTAAACAGAAGAGTATTAAACGTTACACCTTATTTTAAACTATTGAACTTTTCTGTAGTAAGGCAGGGTTCCAATCATTAAAATATTGAGTTGCATGTATCAACTTAGGCGCATTATACAACAATTCTGTCACTTGTAATCGTACAAGCTTTACGGTACTTCCCGAGGAATATAACAGAAAAAAACGCAAGGGTTATTTCAATTTGCCTCTGAACACCGTTCCCGTAGGATCACCGAAGTTAAGCAACGTTGAGCTTGGTCAGTACCTAGATGGGTGACCGCTTGGAAATACTAGGTGTTGTATGCTTGGATGCGCGTGTGGTGTAATGAATAATGGCTTGAAATTATTAATCGGAGAGCCGAGTTCCAATTCCGGACGGGTCTGTTATATTCACTTACGCGCAAATACCCTTAAGAAAGGTATGGATTCAACTCTTTTCCTCTCCACAGATATGGGTTTATTAGTAAGAATTGTATCACTAAATCAAAATAATTCTTACAATGTAAAAATATTTTCTGGCTTTAAATAACCTGTATGTGTTGATAAGCCGTAGAAGACGGATCAATCAATAAAACAAAATCAGCTTGCCTCTGTGTCCAGTTCATTTTCCCAGAAATGCTTCCGCGAGATAAGAATTAACTTCAAAACGAAAATAGAAAAGCGAATCATTGTCTTGAAAATAAAACTCATTCACCTCATCAAATATCTTAAGAATCCCAAGCACAAATCACTTGGGAGGGGGCATGAATTAAATGTTTATACTTCTTTTAAGTATCCTGTAGAAACATAATTCTTATTGTTATGGTAATATTAGCTCTTTCCTCATAAGAAAACATTTGGCATTCATTAACCGAAAAGCCAGTGCTAATATTGGATAAAATTTCTAAAATCTTTCTATTAATACAATTTATCAGGAAAATAGTTTTCTAAAGCCTTTTTATCACTCTTTCTAGTATTGATGGGAATTCCTTCCTAAACATTTATTCGAAATTGTGTAGAACGTTAACATTTTTACTGTCATTATTTTCTCTTATAGTTACATTGTGCTATCCATTTTAATTGTTGCTGTTCTTGAAAGTCTTCAAGTCGTTTCTATTATTTGGTACAATTCTTTGTGAATCTGTTGCACAACTCCATGAGTTTCGAAGAAGGATAGTTTTCTCTAAATCCCTGCAGTGTTCCTTCACTGAAGGCTATTTTAATAATTTTAAATCCTTGAAACCGGTGTAATAGTTTAGACATTTCTGAACGGTTCGGGTGTCGTACTTGATCTGATGAGCTATTTGAGAACATCATTGGAATTCTTAAGTTAATGTTTTGGTTTTGTACCTTCTGGTGATATTGGGCAGATATACACCTAGCGCAGGCTATTCTATGTTCAGTTTCCTTATATCCTATACTAACCTTGTTATAACTGATCCATACACCGAGGTATTTGAGATGTTTAGTATTTATTAATTACATATCCAGAAATTTTATGTTGGTTTCCGGTTATATGCCATCATTATTTTCATTTCAATTCCAGATCATAGTTTCTGTTTTAGAAAAGTTTATTCTAATTCCTACTTCTTGGAATACTTGGTCGAGGGTGTTGATTTTTTTGTTCAAGATCATTCTTATTCCAAAAGCGAACTGAAAAATGAGGTAATTCAATATGAAAATGAGAAATGTTATTTCGGAAAGAAAAAAAAATGTCCCGTGAATCAAGAGCGTCTTGGATGCTGAACGATTTGGACAGAAATTCAAACATGATGGCCAAGTGTAGGCCTACTCTGGTAACCCCTAATCCATCGGTAAAACCTATATAGTATTTATAAAAAGTAAGATTAAGTGTATGTCTTGATGTATGCAGCTAAGACGGAGAAGGTCATATGAAAAAAAAAGACATATTTTGCAAGCTAGTATGAAGAGAAAGAAAATGGAGGACGATTAGTGATATTAGAAAAAGGAGAAAAAAGAAACTACAAAAGTATCTTTATTTCTCTCTCACATAAATATATAGAGAGGAAGATTTTGTCAGCATCATTTTTTCTTTCCAAGATGTTATTATTTTCTGATTTATTAAGTGTAGCTTAGCTGTCTCACAAAGCCACCAGCTATGGAATACCTAGTAAGGCGCGAACTCACACCTCAGTTGCAACTGATCTTGGAGACACGCTGATTAACTATTAAAACACGTTTAAATGCGATGCTTGGTTATCTTTCTCTCTCTCACACAAAACCGCCGAAAGGAAGAAAGAAAGAAAAAAAGAAAGAAATTATAAAAAGCAAACAAGAAATAATTATGGTAGTTTGGCAGAATTAAAAGCGACAAAAACTTTTTAGAGTTGGAAAAAAAGCAATAAGAAAAAAGTAAGAAAGAAAACGGATGACAGAATTAAATGTGGTAAAATAAATTAAAAAAGAGGAAAAAGAAATAAGAAATAAGAAAAAAGGATGACAGAATTAAAAGCGATTAAAGATAAAAAAAAGACGAAGTGGTGAGAAAGAAAGAAAGAAAGAAAGATGGCAGACTTAAAACTGAGAAAAAATTTTTAAAAAAGAGGTAAAAGAAATAAAGAAAAAAATAACAGGTTGGAAAGAAAAAAACATGATACTGTTAAAATCTCTCACAAACTGTGTGTATGTGTGTGTGTGTGTGTGTGTGTGTGTGTGTGTGTGTGTGTGTGAGAGAGAGAGAGAGAGAGAGAAAGAGTAATCTGTGAATAACAC